CAGGAGAGGTCTGCCACGCCATGTGGATCTCCTCGGGGCAGGCGGGGATCAAACTCTTCCGGAAGTGGCTTAAGCTTCTTAGTGCTGTGCTTTAACCTGCTGCGCCACCAGGGAGGGCCTACCAGGCCTTTTTAATGTCTTTTTTACTTTAACACTTCTTATGGATGTGAAGTGTTATCATTTATCTTTCTTCATGATTTGCCTAGAACTGAATACATTTTCTTTATTATTTATGTATAGTATCTTTTTACTACTTTAATATGTCTTTTGATGAGGAGAATTTCTTAGTCTCAGTATAGTTTATCTTTTTTTTTAGATTTTTTTTAATAAAAGAAGCCTTTTTCATACTTGAAGATCCCAAAAATAGTCTCCTCTTTTTCTCTGAAAGTTTTGTTTTATCTTTGACCTTTAAATTTGCCATCCATCTGGAGGTGTTTTTTGAAAGGCAAATATTTTTAAGAAGTTTCTTCCTAGCTGACTAACATTTACATCCTTTTCCTTTCTTTAAAGGGGTGAGGGATAATAAATGGTTAGAAAAATAAAGTAATATACAGGAATTAGTTGGTTACAAAGATTTGCCCTCAGGTGGTGGCTGCAGAGATCAGGGTGATGAACTTAAGATTTTAGGATTCCTGTCATGTCAGAAATTTAACTAGCCATTTCAAAAACTCAAACACTTTGAATCTCTACAGTATTGTGAAGTAGATGACATTATCCCTTATTTACAAATAAGAAAACTAAGGCCCAGAAAGGTAAATAAAATTTCCCAGTTCACATAGCTATTAAGTAGGCAGAACCACAGCTCAAAACCAAGTCATTCTGGCTTTTAGACTGTTATTTTTTCAGTCAAATGTAAATGAAGTTTCAAATGTAACCTATTCATATTGGATTGCTATGATAGGAGACCCAGTAATAAATGTTAAATGAACTGTGGGGCCAGGTGCATGCGTGCATGTGTGTATGTGTGTGTGTGTGTGTGTGTGTTTTAAGAAAGTATATGAATGAACAATTGAGAGACCTCATAGGGGCTGAAAGTATTGAAGTGGTAATCTGATGCTTAAGAGATTAGTTGCCTAAGAGATTCTTGTCTGTGGATAATACTGCCAGAAATCTTAACCTGTCTGGATCCTTAGTTTGCTATGTTGTAGGTCTTACTTTACATGATGTGAAATGGAGGAAATTTCTTTCATATAGAGTAGGATTACAGAGCATTTCTAGAACTCCCTCTGCTGAGTGGCTCCAGCAATAATTAAAATACCTAATTGCCATAATTGTGCTAATTCTAATGATATAAATTTAGGAAAGAAATTTATTTCAAAGTCCTTTAGTAACAGAAAGGAGATGGGTGTTTGTAGCAAATGAGAATGGGAAGATAGAGTGAAAGGATTATTTAAGTTTCTTTTAAATTAATATTTAACTATTGAATTGTTTCAGTTGTGGGGAAGAAACTTCTAATGCCATTAGAAACATTACATTTCAAACAAATAATGGTAAAACTTTATACTCATGGGTGGTATGATAAGAATCAGTGAATGGTATCAACTTTCTGAGTTGGTGGTATCATTACAAAAGGACTCTTTAGCCCTTTTAGACTGAAAAGTAAACTTCTGGCAACCTCTGTGGGGAAGTCTGAAATTGATCAATGAACTAGTTGTTTCTCTATAAAATAGCCATTTGGTAACATTCAGATTAAAAAATGACTAGATAAAGTCTATTTCAGATGAGAAACTTCTTTCTGAGGAGGCTCCTATTTGATTATCTCCTTTTCACACCTGAGGCATTTCACACCTAATTGATAGATACCTAACAGATAGGTATTTCATGCCTAGAAGAGCATCATTTTCATCCCCTTTGACCTCATTTATCTTCTGATAGCTGCAGGCAGCTACCTTTTTCCCTTCAGACTTGCCATTTGAGGAGAAATCAGTCTGCCATTTTGGGTGCTTAGACATCTAAGAAAATTAAGTATAAAACAGGTAAATAAATGTGTACTGATTATTTTTATTACTGCTAACACCTTTAAATAATTAAATCCCTTAGATATTTAATTGGTTTTACTTACAAAAATGATATAGTCCCAGATTTGTAGGAGAACTCACTGAATGCAAGATTAGACAGCTTCAGTAGGTTAAATATTGTTTTATAAAGAACAGCTAGTCCTTACTATGACAAAGGAAGAGAATCTAGTTGTTTTTTTTTTCTTTATGATAGCATAATTTGGTCTTAAATAAATAAAGAGAACATTAATCCAAGCAGCCATGAGTGGTTCTGATTGATGTTATCTGGCAGTAGAGGAATATATTTTGAGAAAATCTAGATTCCATTTTGAAAGCAATAAAATGTCTTGTTTATTGTGTATATAGCTACAATTTTTTATTTAGGGGTGAATTTGTAGGTACCTTATTTGCATAGCCTCCAAACTGTTAGAAGAATCACTTGGACTGTTATAGAAAATTAGCCTACAAATACCCCTGCAAACTTCATTTTTGTAAGAGAGACTTGACAGTACTTAATAACATCAAGTAGAATAAAAATTGCTTAAGAAATTATGAAATTATTTTGGAAGGGGAATACAAAATGGATTATAGTATATTTTTGCTCCTTTGTCATATTACTGCTGTAACTAGCAAATAATGTTTTTATTACTATACTTTAGAAAATGTTATAGCTTACTTTAACTCATCTCAAATTTAGAATGCTAAACATTTCAATTGTTGGGAAGTTAATTATTCAATCTTCCACTTAAAGTCCTCTCTAAACTTGGCTCCATCTTTTCCATCCTGTTGTTGAACTGACAAGTTTAAGTTATATTTTTCAGTTACACTTTTATCACTAAGCCAGCTATAGGACTATAAGCATCCTAGTCATGGAATGGTTTCTTCACCTGTAAAGTAAGAGAATAGCACAAAATTAGTGGCTTTGACCCTTTCTTTGGGTCATGGAGAAATGTTCTAATAATTTGGTGAAAGCCATGGATTTTTTACATCCTGGAAACTGCTGATTCATGTAAATAAAATATTGCATTTAATTTCAAGAGTTGTGGTGTTCCTCTGAAACCTTCAGGTTAAGGTTCCCATGGATTAGGGGGTTTCTGGTTTTCAAAATCTGTAATTCTGTATTTCTGTCTCATATGACCCTGTTGTCTAACTATACTACATTATAATCCTTATAATTGTTTACACTCCTGCTTCCACATTTTTACTCATGATTTCATCAGTGTTCAGATGTCCTTCTTACCCATCTTTTACCTTTGAAAGTGCTATCCATTTTGTAAAGCACAACTCAAATGTCATTTTTAAAATGAAGCTTCTTCAGTCAAAATCAATCATCATGGGCCTCACTGGTGGAGCAAGGGGTTAATTATCAGCACTATGAAGTTATCCATAGCCATGATAGCATGAATTTGATCCCAAGCCAGGGAGGTGACCCCCATGGCACAGCAGTCTTCTGTCTCACCTGCAGCTCTCCTCAGCAGTGTACTTCAGTAGATAGGCCTGTTCTGCCCCCCACTCTGGCTCTATGAATCTTCTCACCTCCCCATACCTCTAAACTTCACCCCAATTTTTGTATGTATAAATAAGTAAAATAAATATATTTTTTATTAAAGATTTATTTATTTATGCATACAGAACTGGGGTGCAGGCCGGAGATGCAGGGGCAGTGAGAGGATTCACCAGAGACAGAGTGGGGAGCAGAAAAGGCAGATCAACTAAGCAGGTAGGTCAGAAGAGGTCTGCCACGTCATGTGGTCACCTCCTGGGGCAGGGATCGAACTCATGCTGAAGTGGCTTTAGCTTCTTAGTGCTGTGTTTTAACCCACTGCACCACCAGGAAGGGCCTAAAATAAATATTTAAAAAAAAAAACAAACTGGTTTACCTTTAAAAAAAAAAAAAAGAATCATCTTGTTGGAACTTTGTAACTCCATGTATAGTCCTTAATGCTTTGGTCTTATGAAGAGTGATTAAAGGACTGTGTGACCTCTGTTTCCCATCTTCTTCTTGTCTGTTCCTCAACAGGTGATAAATGTCATCATGTCAGTGACTGTGATTCTGTATTAGCTTTGTAACTAAATTGTGCCTTGTAAATAGTGGTCATGGAATAAGTGCTTGCTAAGTTAAATTTATCACTCAGTTGTAATGACTGCTAAGTGCTGGGGGCATTGTTCCTTTCCCAAAAACATAAAAAGTGTTCTATGTCGAAAGTGTCCAGAGGAAAGCCTTATCTATATGATAAAGTTAAATAATAGGAATTATTTAGGGTACTGCAAGGGGTCTAGTCTGGGAGAGATAACTAGTGTGTTATCAATGAAATGAATTTTACTGAAAAGAGATTGTAAAATTAGCTTACAGTTTTTTAACTTTGTATTTTTCTTTTTTGGCATTTCTGTCTTTATAGGTACAAGAAAATTCCCCAGGACATAGAGCTGGACTGGAGCCATTCTTTGATTTTATTGTTTCTATTAATGGTTCAAGATTAGTAAGTTCAATTTTTTTTCATAGTTTTGCCTACTGTGTTTTATAATCTTTTGAAAATGGAATTTTCAGATCATTTAGGATGAATGTTCATTCATCAGTTAAGTCCATTACATAGAGTATGGCACCAGCTTGTGAATATAATCATATGTTAATAAATGTATAAAAATATCAAATATATTGCATAATGTATATACTATGTCTCACACACTCCAGTGATTATCTTAGTGGAGTAGAATCACTGGCCACTTTTACTTTATATATTATATGCAGGAATATTTAAGATGACAGGATACTTTTTAAAGATATCAGACTTTTGGGTCCTCCCTGGTGGCATAGTGGGTAAGGACGCAGCACCGCAAGCTAGCTGCAGCCACTACAGTGCAAGTTCAATCCGGGGCCCTGGCAGTGATCCACATGGCCCAGCAGACCTCTCCTGACCTGCCCGCTGCTCCCCACAGCAGCGTACTTCTTTGATCTGCCTGCTCTGCTCCCCACTTAGTCTCTGATGCATCCTCTCACCACCCCTGCACCTCTGGCTTGTACCCCAGTTCTGTGTGCATAAATAAATAAATCTTTTTTTAAAAAATCAGACTTTTACCGGGCATTGACAAGTGGATTAATAAAGCCTTAGAAAAACATTCTTAGAAAACTTTGTTTATTGGAGTGAAGTTCCATCATATACAAATAATTTTTAGAATCTGACAAATTTGTTAACAGAAATGTGGAATTAAAACCACTTTATAAGCTGCTTTCACTTTACTTTCAGTAAAGTATCAGAAGGGAATTTTGTAATTTCAGCAAAGAAAATTGTTATGATAACAGCAGCTTGGTTGGTTGATTTTTTTCACAACAGTCTTATAAGTTTTTTTTTCACTACTTATCAGTGCCTCATACTTAATGGCTTTTATTCATTTATGTAATGAAATATTTAACATACTGCTTCCATTATCTTTTCAGTTCCTAATAAATAAATAAAGTATATACTTAGCGGTAGAATAGAAAATTAAATTTCAACCTCAGTAAATGTTTTAGATCTTAAAATCAGAGTCCTATCAACTCTTGTTAGGACATTCTTATGGAATGTTTTGTTTTTTATCGCTAAAGCCCTAGATCATGCCAAATGATGTGCATTGCAAATTCCATAATCCATAGTCAGCTATCAGAAAAAAGTTAGTCAGCAATTTCTGCTAACAGAAATTTGGGGGACTATTTGAGTGTTAATGAAACCTTTGTTGGATGTTTTATTATGTTGATTATTAAATGTAAATCCAGTAGGGCCATAGGAGGGCTTCTGCTAAGATTAATTAACACTGCATTTTTATTAAGGAAAATGATTTGTGTGTTCACAGAATAAAGACAATGATACTCTTAAGGATCTACTGAAAGCAAATGTTGAAAAGCCTGTAAAAATGCTTATCTATAGCAGTAAGACACTGGAACTTCGAGAGACCTCAGTCACACCAAGTAACATGTGGGGTGGCCAGGGCTTGTTGGGAGTAAGCATTCGTTTCTGCAGCTTTGATGGGGCAAATGAAAATGTTTGGCATGTGTTGGTAAGTACCAACTGTGAGTTGTTACATGCAGTTTAAGAAGTAGTGTAGAAAGATGTTTTAACAGCAATTGTTTCCCGTTTGGTGAGATTGTAAGGGTATATTTGTTATTTGTAATTTCTGAAAATCAGAATTCACTGCTTTTAAAATATGTATTAAGAAAATTCTGCGCAAGGGAAGCAAATACAGATGCCTAAGAAATGTTTTTCTAATGATTTATGTTAGAAGAAGACATATTTAGCTACAGAAGTATTTTTAAGTAGTTAATGTGAGTTTATGTTTGGAAGTTTTAAATATATACTGTAGTCTGTGACAGCTGACATCTCTAACAGGACAAAAAGATAGGAGTTTTAAAAATCCCTACATTTAAGCACTATGAATTATAAAATTCAGAACATTATTTTTGTATCCATTAATTTTGGGGTATGTTTTTGTGTCATACTAGGAAGTAGAATCAAATTCTCCTGCGGCATTGGCTGGTCTTAGACCTCACAGTGATTATATAATTGGAGCTGATATGGTGATGAATGAGGTAATTAATGTATTTATTAATAACAAATTGCTATAACATTTTTTCATTAATGTTTACATTCTGAAGTATATTTATATACTTTTTAATTACAATTGAAATTTACGTCTTTGCCTCCGTGTATTAAAAACAGAATATCTGGGAAGTATCTTATTAGATAAAGCTATGAAGAAATACATACTAAGTGACAATTGCATAGGTTGTATGTATTGTATACAGAATTTTTTTTATCTATCTCTAGGCTAAATCAAATCCACATTTTGGTTATAGATTTCATTTTCTCTTCCTTTTTTTGCTTTGAAGTGACAAAACTGTCTCAGTTATATTAAATGGATCCTTTTCCTCTTCTGTTAGCTAGTGAAAGTGTATATTGCTAAATCAAAATTGAGAGAAAAATATTCTGCAATCTTGGTATCTATGGAGGCTTGCTGGAAACAAGACTTCTCAAATATGGTTGGAAGCCTGTGGCCATTATTGCTGGCTACAAGTGGAGTCTCCTGAACCAGAGCAAGCATACAGGTCTTCTTAAAACTTGAAGATGTTTGTTTGAGATGAAACTGAATTCTATCTAGGCAAGAAATGTGCTCATGTGTGCAAAGCAAAAGAACAACACAGTGACTCCTGGTGGCAGACCAAATAAAACTAGAGTAATCTGGAAAAAGGTAGTGTGTCCATGGAAACAGCCTGATACATACCAAGTCCTAAAGCAACCTTCCTGTAAGCCCACTGGAAACAATCTATGTGATGCTATACACAAGGATTTAAATTCGAAAAGCCAATAAATAAAAGTGAATTTGTTCTCTTGATAAACAAAGAGAAAGAGTGAGAAAATAAGGTGCCTAGATAACCACAACTTAATAATGGAGAATAAAAGTAGAATTTGGGTATAGAAGAGCTTTACTAAAATTGCTGACTAATTCTTACTAGAACCAATATAAGCCTCTGAATGTAGTAGGTAGGTAATATAGTGAATTAAACTTTGCATGGTGTATTGGTTTTAAGAAATTTTTTTCCCAAGGCAAACTGTATCCACCTTTATTTAAATATATTTTTCATAAGCAGTCATTATATTTCAGAAAGGATATGGGCAGATAAACATTAAGAGTTTACAATGAGCAGAGAAAGTTTAGAATGAAAAAAGTTTAGAATGAGAGTTGATGTTTAACAACTTTTCACAAGCCAACCCTGACTGTTAGGTAATGAAATGAAAATGGCAGATTTATCAATCTGAAGAAGCAGAATCAAAAAGGAACTGCTCTTTTAATGAATGTCATCTCAGTGGTGACACTAGAAATTTCAGATTGCCTGATTTGTGGTCTCGGTTTATTTGGCATCAGATCTCTATAGGTCTCTCTGGGCTTAAGGGAGTCACTATGCTGATGACTAAGCAGGAGAAGAGGACATCAAAACAAATTTTGGTTTTTCCCCATCACAGGGTGTCTGCCAAGGTACCTAATGTGTGCCAAGATCAAGTAATTCCTCCTCTTGGGAACCAAGAGGAAGTCTCTCAAAACTTCATAGGAAAAATGCATCAGTATAGCTTCAGAGACCTCTATTAGTGACATATACCCTTCCCCAAATCACAGCAATGAAGTCTGTGTCATAACTTAAAATTCTGCATTTTTATAAAACTTAAAAATAGTTTTTCAAATTGTACAGTCACCAGAAGCACATAATTAGCAAAAATGTACACACTCCACTTGGCATCTCCAGCAGCTCCTGCTTTCTGTTTTGGTATCTTCATTTTCTTCAGTGTTTTATTCCCATTCTTGCCAAGCTTTACCCTTTTCCTCTTGGTACTTCTTTCCCTTCTTTGCAGGGTCCATTTTAAGCTTGGACTCTGGCTTGGTGGGGAGCAGATTTAGCAGGTCATCTACCGACCTCCTTTGTAGTTTGTCCTTCATCTTGGCTTTATGACCTTTAGCAACCCCTTCAGCCTTTCTTTGGGGCGTGGTGGTAACAGTAACAGGATGTAGGCACCAGACATGGAGATGCGCAGTCCTTGCTTTGTTCAGTTTGAGGGTTGTTCTCACCTTTTCTTCACATTGCTTCAAGAAATAATGTTTATGTCTAGGAACAGGACCCAAAATAGTATAGCAGGTGTGAGAGTAATGTCATTTCATTCAGCGTCATTTTGTTACATAATGTCATGATGAGGGGAAAAAATCCTGGATAGCATTCAATGAAACAACATTATTCTAGGATCTGATTTGTTATATGTCATTTCACTGACAGTAGAAATTTCTAGGCCTCCCTGGTAGCCTAGGGGTTAAGTCTGAGCGCTATCATCACTATTGCCCACCTCAATCTGAGTTCAGTCTCCAGCCAGAGAGCAAACCCACATATGTCACAGCAGACTTCTCTTGTCCCCACCTCAGCAGTGTATTTCAGTAAACCCACCTGCTCTGCTCCCCACTCTATCTCTGGTGAATCCTTTCACCACCCCTCCCCCCTACACACACACACACACACCTCTAGCCTACACCCCAGTTTTTTGATGCAAAAATAAATAAAATCTTTTTTTAAAAAATGAATAAAGTAGAAATTTCCAAGAACCAGCTAATGACATTGAATGCTATATTTTTTAAAGTTTTCCAGATGATACTGATATCACCCAATTTTGAGACCACTGTTCTAAAGTTCAGTAACAAAAACATTTTCCTCCTGTGGTGCTTTTGCAGTCAGAAGATCTATTCAGCCTCATTGAAACACATGAAGCAAAACCGTTGAAACTGTATGTGTATAATACAGACACTGATAACTGTCGAGAAGTGATTATTACACCAAATTCTGCATGGGGTGGAGAAGGCAGGTAAGGCCATTTTTTTGGACTAAGTTATGACTATTTAAAAATTTACTAGTCAAATGTGTTAGAAACATTGATTGTGATTATTCAGAAATAGTTATTGGTTTATTTTTATTTTAAGACTTCCCTTGAGAAGGGATAAAAGGAAAGAGCTGACCTAGAATATTGAATTCCTTAATCCATTTCTTAGAATACATATAAGGACTTTAGTATGTATACTATATAGTTGATCCTTGAATAACATGGGGGGGATTAGGTAATTTATCCCTCCACAGTTAAAAATCTGCAAGGTAGGGCATCCCTGGTGGTGTAGTGGATTAAGTCACAGCGCTACGAAGCTATCTGCAGCCCCTGAAGCACTAGTTCAACCCCTGGCCAAGGAGCTGACCCACATGGCGCAGCAGACTTCTCCTGTCTTGCTCACTGCTCCACTCAGTAGTGTATTACAGTGGATCTACCTCTTCTACTCCCCAGTATGCCTCTAATGAATCCTCTCACTCCCTGCACTTTTGGTTTACAACCCAGCTCTAGTATGCATAAATAAATAAATCTTTCAAAAAAAATTTTTTTTGATCTGCAATGTAACATTTGACTCTCCCAAAATTTACTAGTAGCCTGTTATTGACCAGAGCCTTAAAAATAAGATAAATAGATGGTTAACACATCTATAGATAGTCATACTATATTCATAAAGTTAGCAAGAGAAGAAAATACTAAGAGAAAATGTACTAAACTATATCTGTTGAAAAAACTTCTCTGTATAAGGATACCTGTGTAGTCTGAGAGCTAACAGCCTTTTTGTTGTTTTAAAATAAAAGTTTTCAGTTTTATTTTATTTTCTCAATTCCCCTCCCCAGCAGTGGGATCATACAGTATAACTTTCTCTAGGTGCTAGGAATTTTCTGAGTATTTTGTGGGATCTTTCAGCTTTTGGAAATGGACAGGCTAATTTGAACCAAAAGTTAGACAAATTACAGATTTGCAGCAACAATAAAAACAATGTTAAAAAGATGATAAAGACAAGTAGTAAGCAAATGTTATAAAATCAGTTCCTGAGATTTATCAAGTCAGTTCCTAGTTTCAAAAAGCCAAACCAAGTGAAGGTATGCTGATTTAAAATTGCTTCCTTAGGTCTTTTTTATAGTAAGGTCTTAGGTCTTTTCCTTAGGTCTTTTTTTTTTAGATCTTTTTTATAATTGCTTAATTTATATAGATTTTCATTATTTTGAAAGCCCTAATAACCTTTTTTAATTCAAGGAATTATAACATACAAATCATAATTACAGCAAAACCCAGGTTTTAGAAACATTTCCAAATGTTTTGTGAAAGTTCCAGCACTTGAAAGGCCTGTGGTGGTGGCTCACAGCTCCTGTGGTTGTGGAAGAACCACAGGGACTGCACCTGAGGGGAGAATAGTAATGTAACAAAATCAAAAAAAAAAAAAAAATGTTGTAGCATTTGCTTAGGAAAAGAATAACTTAGTTGATGCAGGCAGAGAAAGTATTTGCTACCTGAAACTCAACAGCTGAAGATATTTGTCACTAAAATGCTAAACTTGTTGGAATTTGGGAGGGAAATTGAGATATATGTATTACCTTATGAAGCTAACCTGTCTCGGGTATACTTGATCAAGTTGTGGTAGTTCATTGTTCAGGTTTATATACAGTGAAATGTTCTTTTGTGGCACAAGGGGTTAATATCAGCACTGTGGAACTGTTAGCAGCCACTGCAGCATGAGTCTGATCCTGGGCCAGGGAGCTACCCATGTGGTACAGTAGCCTCCTTTGTCAGTTGCTGTTTCCCCTCAGCAGTGTATTTCAGTAGATCTACCTGTTCTGCTCTCCACTCTGTCTCTGGGGAATCCTCTCACCATCCCTGCAACTCTGGCCTGTACTCCAGGTCTGTATGCATAAATAAATAAATCTCTTAAAAATTATTTAAGCTTTCTTTCTCTAATTCTGAGATCTGATTTAATGGGAATTAGTTTTAATGGGTAGGAGGGAAGAAAAGCAAGACAGGGAATGATCAATTTTTTAATATGAAGCATTTTTGCAAAGGTAGGCTTGGGTAAAGAAGAGCAGAAATTGGTCACTGCTCTCTCAGCTCTAATGTTTTGTTGTTTTTAATGTTTTTGGTGGGAAATTGTAGCTGCCTTGGAAGGGGATAAACACAGGTGTCTTCATGACCTGCTCAGAAAATACCAAGTATTTTGGGGAAATAGAAGCAATCATGATAGAAGCTTAAAATGGAATCTGATTGTGAATTCACTTAAATACTGTGGTCAGGAATTTGGATCTTTTGGGCAGTAAGACTATGATATTTCATCTGGTCAGAGGTAGGCAGAGGATATTTTATTTAGTTCCAAATAGTAGAAATCAGCTGTCACTGTCATAGGAGACATGAATTTATTGTTACAGAGTGATTCAAAGAAATAGTTAAAGAACCATTTTGGGGAAAGACAGGACTTACAACACTTCTAGGGATTTAGAGAGAAAGGACTATTTCAGAATTTCACCTGTATTCTGCTAAGGAATGAAGCCAGTTTTGGCTTTTCTATCACTTCCAAGATCAGTGTTCTTGTCAAGTGGGATGGATTGGCTTGACTTTGGTCATGGTCTGATGCTTGGTTTAGGCAGTGCACGTTCCTGCCTGATAGTCCTATACCATTGCACAAAGAGAGTACTTTACTTCCAAAAGGAGAAAGGAATATTGGGAGAGCAGCAGACTCTGGAAAGATGCAATGTGACTTTCTTATTAGTAAGATTCATCTGGTGGCAGTGGAGAAATGAATTAGAAGGAATCTGGATTAAACTGTTTGGTGTTAGAATTTGGGATGTGTAAAATGACTTTATACAAAAGTCTTGGAGCTCTTAAATGGAAAGACTTCATGTTGTACATTCAGCTGATAATTTAAGTTTCTGCCATGTTCCAGAAACAATTAAGACAGTAAACAAAACAATCTATTTGCCCTTAAGAACCTAATATTTTACTGTGAAGAGAAAACAAATATGCAGAATGTTAGATGGTGATAAATAATTGAAGAAAAATAAGAGTAGTGTCCATGATGGTGGGAGCAGTGCTGTTTCATAGAAACTTCTGATAAAATGATGTTATTTTATTAAATGAAAGAAAGATGTTAATTGAAAGAAATTTGATTCTTTTTATATTTCAAAATGTCAATGAAATGCAAGCTACAATTGATAGAACTAACTTTAAGAAAAAATTGTTTCATAGCCTAGGGTGTGGCATTGGATATGGTTATTTGCATCGAATACCTACACGGCCATTTGAAGAAGGAAAGAAAATTTCTCTTCCAGGACAGATGACTGGTACACCTATTACTCCTCTCAAAGATGGGTTTACGGAGGTAAGATAACTTTACTATTTGATTATATCATTTTTTCCACCTAACGGGCAAGTCTCAGTATCTGTGAAGTAGCACTAATCGTATAGGGCAGATGATGAGTTGCGTATTGATTGTGGTGAACCTGAGGTTCCTATAGGAAAGATGGAAGTGAGATACAGGGCCTGCAATTAAGAGAAAAGGACAAGGCTGGAGGTGCAGACTTGGTGGTCATCAGCAAAGAGAGGCTAATTTTTTTTTTTTAAAGGTTTATTTATTTGTGCATACAGAACTGGGGTACAGGCCAGAGGCTCAGGGGCGGTGATAGGCTTCACCAGAGACAGAGTGGGGAACAGAACAGGCAGATCGACGAAGTACACTGCTGAGGGGAGCAGCGGGCGGGTCAGGAGAGGTCTGCCACACCATGTGGTCACCTCCGGGGCAGGCGGGAATCCAACTCATGCAGAAGCGGCTTTAGATTCTCAGTGCTGTGCTTTAACCCGCTGTGCCACCAGGGAGGGCCCAAAGAGAGGCTAATTTAACTCAGTGTGTATGGATAAAAATTGTTGAGGAATTTGTCCTGAGCAGGTCAGAGGGTTGAAGTCAGAATAGTGAAAAAGCATGTCATTTAAATGAATAGGCAAAGGAAGTTCAGAAGTACAAGGGGGAACAAAGCTTCAGGGGAAAGGACATAGCTATGTGAAGTACTATAGAGAAATTCAGTGAGAAAAATGTTAGAAAAATTAAAATAAGAAAGCATGTCCTGGACTAGAACAAGTTCAGAGACTCAAAAGGAAAATATAGATACCAAATTACAGGCGGTAGAGAGTTAGTGGCAGATGATAAGGTTATGATAGCTAGTGCTTACCATTTCAAGAAATTTGATGGGGAGACAGATCTAGGTATGTGGAGAATATGATAAGCTCAAAGTGAGATGTTTTAAGAAAAAGAGCTATTTGCACAAGTATATATAGGCTTTTAAAATGTCTTATGGTGGTCTCGCAGGACAGTTAGCTTTTGTCTGAACAAATAAATAAAAACCAAACACCCAATAAAGAAAATGCTATAGTCATGAAGAATGGCTGCTGCCACTCTCAGTTTGTGGTGCAGAATTTGGCCATCCCTGATTCTAGGAGATACTGAATAGCTTAACCTTTGCTTACTCCCACCCCTACCATTGGCACACAGCCAGAGTCTATGCATATGGGTCAAACTATTACTGCTATATCTGCTCTTCCTAATCAGTGCATTTAGCTCTAGACAAGCCTCTTAAGGGAAATCTGAGAAGACTGTAACGTGAAATTGAAGCTAGGGAAAAGGGCTAGAACCTGTTGTGTTAAAACTCACCAGGACCTCCCTGGTGGCGCAGAGGGTGAAAGCTCAGCACTGTCAAGCTGTCAGCAGCACTGCAGCACGAGTTCGGTTCCAGGCCAAGTAGCTGACTCACATGGCACAGCTGACCTCTCCTATCTTGCCTGCTGCTCTCCTCAGTAGTATATTTCAGTACATTTGCCTATTTTGTCTCTGGTGAATCCTCTCACCCCTGCTCCTCTGGCCTGTTCCCCAGTTCTTGGATGCATGAATAAAGAAACCTTTAAAAACAAAACAAAACTCATCAGTGGGCACTGGAGCTGGTATAAATTGGAATATTCACAGGTGAAAGCATGCCTCTATGGGGTCCTTATAGATGCAGCCTGTCCTGCCCTACCACAGCATGGAGATCTGGCTGCCACATTCCTTCATCAGTAAGAAAAGATGAGGTGTGTTCATGAGTTTATAAAACTTCCTGATTTCTTCCACGAGTAGTGAAAAACTGGCTGAGGATTCTGAGGTGAGGAAAACAGTGATGTTTTAATAGTTGTATAAAACAACTTTTAGTGTCTAAAAAGGAGCAGAGTACTTGTAGCATGAAAATAGCTACAAAAGTGTGCAAATGGGACACATGCCATGTGTCAAGAGACTGGAAGTGACAAGTGGGAGAGGTGTCTGCAGTACATGGTCCTTGGTATGCATCACATTAGAAAGACATGTCTGAAGGCGGAATTGCCTTGTGAAAATTTTCACAGCTAGCATGTGACTATAAATGTATATATAGAAAAGTGAAAGTCAATATTTATATTTTCTTAAGTAAGCTTGCATAATTTTCTTATTTTTGTTTTCGTTTTTCTCTTTCTTGGAAGGTCCAGCTGTCCTCCGTTAATCCTCCTCCTATGTCATCAACACCAGGAACTACAGAAATTGAACAGGGTCTGTCTGGACTTTCTATTAGCTCAACTCCACCAGCCGTCAGTAATGTTCTCAGTACAGGTACATGGAAAAATATATTCCCTTTTTTTTCAGTCTGCTTTATTTTATAAGAAATTCTTTTCTGTTTCAGCTATAGAATTTTAAAAAATTAGTGGCAGTATTTAAAAGCTATAAATGTGCTCTGCATTGACAGGCCTTGTCTGTAAAAGCGAGTACTAAATTCCTATTTGCATACATACAGGGCCAGCCAGCACTTACCTCTTCTTGGCATGTTTTAGAGCTAGGGTGTCTTCCAGATTATACAAGTTGTAACTTTAAATTCTGTTGAATTGCTTTATTTAATCAACAAATGTATGTGTAGCACCTAGGTGTATTAAGTACCAGGGATATAAAAGAGATCAGGATCCCATTCCTTTCCTAGGGACTCTGTCTTGGCCAGGAGACATGTGCCTTTTCTTCACTTCTTGTTCTATATAATACAATCCTATTTGTTTGCAAGATTCCCGTCCCTCTCCCACCCCCACACAAGCATTATAATGCACAAACTGTGTAATACCCATTTAAAGTATATAGTAGTGTGTTTTGTTTTTGTTTTTGTTTGTTTTTGTTTTTCGGTATATTTGCAGAGATGTATAGCCATCACCTCAATTTTAGAACATTTCTTCTCCCCCATGAGAATTTGGACCCATTATCAGTCACTTCTCATTATTCTTAAGCCACCCCACTTTACCCCATCACCCCCAACCTAGGCAATTAATTAATCTACTTTTTCTTTGTATGTATTTGCCTAATCTGAACATTTTATGTAGTATGTGTTGTCTTCTGTGACATCTTTCTCTTAGAACAATGTTTTCAAGGTTTGTTCACTTAAAATAATGTTTCAAGGTTCAATGTTAATACTTCATGTCTTTTTAAGGCTCAACGCCATTATATAGCTATAGATACAAATACATTGTGCTTATCCATTCATCATTTGAGGGGCATTTGTACATTTTGGCTATTATGTACATTTGTGTACATACATAATTTTGTTTCACAGAGCAGCATTCTCTATCCACAGGGAACATCCACCCACCACCCACCACCACTGCCCAGTTGTCCAACTCCAGGTTTACATGAATCTCTTGGTTCAGGAGCTCAAAGAGATTGACAAGAATCTTGTGTCCCATTTCCAATTTCTATAACAGTTCTTGAATCTAGTCCTGTTTAAGTCAAATATAAAACTCCTGTCCAGTGAGCTTAGCCCAGGTGAATTTGTTGAGCCTTCTGCCTTCATGGCTCAGTTTCTATTTATGGCTTTTGTCAAGGACCATGGACAGAGTTGGTAGATGGCAGACAGAACTGTGCAGCCAGGAAGTAGGACTGGCCAAAGTCCTACTGATGAAGACCTGACCCTTGGGGAAAAAGGACAAGGCTAAGATTTTCTTAATAATAGTGTGTTCATTCTTTTTGACTGCATTTGCTAGACATTTTTAAAAGACTGCATTTTGGGACTCGCTGAGTGGCACAGGGGTTAAATTCTCAGCTCTATCAGCCTATCACCAACCACTGCAGCATGATTTTGATCCCTGGCTAGTGAGCTGCCCCACATGGTGCAGCAGGCCTCTCCTGTCTCGCCCACTGCTCCCCTCAGCAGTGTGTGTCAGTCGATCTGCCTGTTCTTCTGCTCCCCACTCTGTCTTTGGTGAATCCTCTCATACCTCCCCCTACCTACCCAATTTCTGGCCTACATCCCATCTCTTGTATGCATAAATAAATAAAAATAAATCTTTAAAAAAATTGTCCTTTTATTTTAGGTGTTCCAACAGTACCATTACTATCACCACAAGTAAACCAATCCCTCACCTCTGTGCCACCAATGAATCCAGCTACTACATTACCAGGTAAGCTGCAAGAGACTAACGATATATAATGTAATGGCATTATTGATATTGTTCATCTTAAAAAACTATAATAAACTTATACCTGTGTTGTGATTTTGTTTTCTTTTCAATAGTTCATTTTTCCATCTCAGTTGTAATTCCCTTGGGCTTCCCAACACCAAATCATCCATGTGCCATCTATGTTGTGATCATTTTTTAATATCTCTTAATCTCATTTACCTCTGCAATAAATTTGTGATAAATAAGTGGCAGTAAGTGGTAATGAGGTATTGCCAGCCAATTAGCTGCTGAGCCTTGGGCTCCTTAACTTACCAACCAACCACCTAACCTCCCCTACCCCCTGCACCAAAGCAGCATGTGGCAAGAATAAGGACTATGTTATAGTTCCATTCTTCAGCATTTCCTATGTGCTAAAGCGCTTAAGTCTTTTGATAGTTTATGGAAAAATACATTCTCTAGTGTCTCTAACACTAAATTATGTTTTTGTTTCTCTTACTTTCCCACTGAAGAATGAGTCCCTTTATCCAGTGGAAAATGATCAAATATACTTGCATTGTGAATATCTTTAATTGTATGACTAAATGTGTCATTGTATAGAAATTACAACATCAACCACATGTGTATACACACAGTGATAAAACAAATGTAAAATATTAATCTTTTGGGAGGGAATTTGAGTGAAAGGTATATGGGATTCTTTATACTACTTTTGCAACTCTGTCTAAAATTATTTTAGGATTTAAAAAAAGACAGAGAAACTGTAAGCCTCTATCATCATAGAAAAGCTGGGTTCTATTGACTACGTGCTTGCTGAGATTAGTCAGCCCTCCCTCTTAAGACACTCAGGCCATCATTATTCTTGCTCTCAAGTTTTCTCTCCCACTTTTACCATCTAATCACCTAAGTATAGAAAGACATTTTGAGTCAATGAGATTTTGTTGTTTTTAATGCTGTTGTGATATAGTGGGCTTCTGGAACTTTCACTTGGAAGTGGGTGGTTTTGGTTTTTTTCTTCAGTACCCAGGATTGAATTTGTTCCCAGGTGAAGTGACCTACCTTTTGTTCTCTGCCTTCTCTTCAGGTTTGATACCTTTACCAGCAGGACTACCTAACCTACCTGCCCTCCCCAATCTCAACCTCCCTGCACCACACGTCATGCCAGGTGTCAGCTTACCAGAGCTCCTGAACCCGGGTATGTTGCCCGTCTTGCCCTCCTAGACTCTATGTAATAAAAAGCTTTATTCAGGAAAGCCAAACTTCTATTTCATTTTTTTTTTTTTTTTTTTGTGAGAGGTTAGATCAGTTTAATAAATCTCTGTGATTCTCCTCTGCCTGGATGCCTCTTCTCCCCCTTTCTCCTCTCACTGCATCCTGAAAGCTCAGACACCATAGAGGCCAGTTGTAGAACTAAACAACAGTGACGTGGAACTGTGTGGCCTGTATACATCCCTGAGTGGCTGGGAGTGAGCAATAGCCACCTGGGGAGTGCTGGAGCCTCTTTCTCATAGCCTGTTAAACCGTCACTTGTACTCAGCAGGCTGAGATTTGTACTTGATAAATAGTCTCCCTTATTAACAAATATTTTTTATAATTTAAAAACTGCAGTTTTTAGCTACTAATAGTTAAGATAGCCAGTATTTAAACTCGGATTTTATGCATGATGAAAATGAAGCAGGTGAGTGTCCCACAAGTATGCTACTCATTAATAATTACTCAGAATACCTTTGACTTTGGGATGGCCAAGTGTCAGAGCTGACTTTACTTGCTTCTCTAGTAGTTGGCCCATGGGTGATGTCAGTGAAAGGTCTTTTACACTGTGGTGTGCTTGATCATGCTTCAGTCTAGATAATAACTGCCCCTGTTGTCACACTGACCATCTGTATATATTTATTTTCTGTCCTCATTAACTCATTTACTCTTAAAGCACAAGGGTTTAAAACACAAGGGAAGTACCATTAACTCAAACGAACATTTACTGTCTTAATGCTCCCATTACCGCTTCTTTGTGCTCTGTGTTCTTGACTTCTGCACTGTCCCCAAATTGACAGACTTTGAGAGTCTTGAGAGTTTCACCAGCCATGGAGTTACCCTAAATTGGTTGTGTACTCTGCCTCTTAAAGAAGTAATGCTCTTTTTTCTTCTTTTATTTTTCAATCCTGAGGATAAACTCAAAAACTAAACAGAGTTGTCATTCACAGGACTTAAACAGAGGCTAGGTACTTACCATGAGGCTAATGAAAGGGGCTACACGACAAGCCCTCTCCTTCCGCACCCTTCACAGTAATGCTGACCCCCTTCACACTGTCTCATCTTCCTGTTGTCCTTCCAGAAGACAGCTCTGACTTGTTTTGAAGTTGCCTGGGTGAGCGGGAGTTCTTGTACAGCACTTGATGTAGCTATAGCATCAGTTAGTGGGCTTCTGCGCCTTCCAGCTGGAGAGTCCATTCTTTCCTGAGGTTAGGAACTTAGAAGTTAGGAACTTTTCATCCTAGCTAGGCTAGTATTTGACTGGGTGACTGTTTAAGTGTCCTGGCCCCCACGTGGGAATAAGTAGAAGTCAGTTTGTCTTCTCTCTCCTCAGCTTCAATTTCCTTAACAAAATGCAAAGAAAAATAGTCGAGTGATGTGACTGCTGCTCTCTTAGTGCTGGGAGGATATATGATCTTTGCCATTTTTGTCCTAGGTTTGCCACCTCTTCCTTCCTTGCCTCCCCGAAACTTACCTGGCATTGCACCTCTCCCCATGCCGTCCGAGTTCCTCCCGTCATTCCCTTTGGTTCCAGAGGTCTCTTCTGCAGCAGGCTCAGGGGAGTTGCTGTCCTCCCTCCCACCCACCGGCAGCCCACCCTCCGACCCTGTCACCACCACTGCAAGGGCAGATGCTGCCTCCGCACTCACTGTGGATGTGACACCTCCCCTTCCCAAGACCCCCTCTACTGTTGAGGACAGAGCCGGCGAGTCCACCCCAGCCAGCGAGAAGCCTGCTTCAGCGGTTATGGCTGCAAATGCCTCTGAGTCACCTTAACTTTGAACTGGTCTTCACAGTTGGCGTGGTGTGCTAATTTAACACCGGAGTGTCTGGAAATGCACACTATCATTAATTTCATACTAGTTTGTACCGTATGTGTAGGTGTCCTGTAAATAATTCTAGGGGAAAACAAAGAAAGAGGACATGGGCTTATCTCTTGCCAAGTTGGGGTAGGGCTCATGGACTGGGGAGGGAAATGTCAGAAAGTGCTTGTATTTTAAAACAACCAAAAAAAAAAATTGTAAGGGTGACTTGCTGCCAGGTTTCCACTGCCATTCTTGGGGGTGTACATCTTTGGGAAAGGTGGGGACAGTTTGCCCTCTAGGCTCTCTGTGCCCCTGCTGCTCCTTCTGTAAGAAAAAAATATTTTCTGCCTAGTACTCACCACGCAACATTTCTTGTATTTTATAAAGCGTTTGCAAGAGTGCAGACCACCAAAGTAAACCGCAAACAGAAAGGGTAGTTTTACTTTTGGTCCCCATGAATCATGTGTCTATTAAGGTTTACACAAAAAATTCCAGCTAAAGATGTTTGTTAATGTTACACAATGTGCACTATTAATGGGACATCTTTTTATTCAGCCTAAACACAGATCCTTGTTTTGAGCTCTCAGAATTTACTCAGACAACATTTTGTAACTGCTGCTGTTGCTTTATACGTACGTCTACCATAAAAATGGCATTTAAACAGGAATAAAGGAGCTGTTGCACAGTTTTAAGCCAGAAGGTGGCACTTTGTGGCTACTAATATTATAGCTATACCGGGAAAGCATAGATACAGCAATAAATTACAGTAATTTTACTTTTCTTCTTGTGGTACCTTTAAATTATAAATTCCTGATTGCCATCTGTGCACTTGTTCCTCATTATGTCACACTTGATGTAATTTTTTCATCTTTGTTTCCTCCTAAGTTTTCTAAGAGATGGTAAGTTAAGTGAATTGATTTATTGAATGAAATTAAATGCATATTATATCTGTTTTTTAAATAAGACAAGAGGTTCATTGGTTATTGATGTGGTCCTAGCGTGAACATTGCTAAAAGAGCAGCATGTGTAACTGTCAGCTGGAAATTAGTGTTACTGCATAGGCCCAGTTGGCAGGCAGTTTTCAGGATATATGCATTCCTGGAGCAGGTTTGTACGTAAAGCAAAATTATAAAAGAAGGCTGTGGTTCTCACATTATTTGTTTGCATTATTAATGTTTCCAGATTATTTCTCTCAATTAAAAACCAGATTTTTTAAAAGGAGCTTATAACAGGTATGGAATATACTCACACAAGTGTATTTAAATATTATACATTTTGCTTTCCAGGACTGGAAAAGTTGAACAAGTTGTTACTGTCTTCTAAGAGATGCTCATAGTAGAAACATTCATTGAGGAGTTAACTTAGTGAAAAAGCAAGTATGGGCTCCTCTGGGGCAGCAATTCTTAGGTCTTGTGAGGTCACAGTTCTCATTTGAAGATGACAACAGCCCTGGACTGTATTCCTTGAGGAAATGACTATAAGCACATATAAAACACAAAGCACTACAAAGCAAGAGGAGTTCTTGGCATTCACTTGGAAGATGGATGCAGATTTGGCCTAAATTGACCTGTGAATCTTCTTAGGTGGACAATATTTAATTTAGATATTCCTTGCTTCCTTCAAAAAATGCCAGTTCTGATGTGTATAGATGGTGGGAGATCCTGTACCAGTGCCCAGTAGGCAAGATACCATAAAAGTTTACACACGGTGTCATTGAAATCCACTCACTGTGGCTTACTGGGAGAGGTGAATCCTAGCAGTGAGCTCCAGCCAGCCCATGAGGTGAGGGTCATAGTCAGAATCACCATGACTTCCTGTATCACTGAATGTCTAGGTTCACACAAAAGAAGCAGGAGACAATGATGGCAGAGGATGTTACATTTGTCTGTAGTAGGCTCGGTTACTACAATAGTTTTCAAAATAATAATGGCTTAAACAAGGAAGTGTATTTTTCTCCCAAGTTCAGATAGCTGGCCGAGAGGTAGGCTTGGCCCACTGCAACGTTGGAGACCTCCACTCCTAATTTACAGTTTTGCAGCTGTGGTTTCCATTTCTAAGGTCACCACATGGACCTAGGTGGTAGTGTGGTAGTCAGATCCCCAACCATGTCATCCTTGTTACAGCCAAAAAAGGAAGGCGAGCCCTTTTTTTTTTTTTTGGTCTGGATGGGAAGTAAAATAACTGGGAACCGTTTCACACAGCATTTTGGCTTATACCGTTCTGGTGTGTAGTCCCAAGCCTCTTGCTGAAAGGCTGAGAAATGTGCCCACCAGGTGTCCAGCTGATCTAAGGAGGGAGGAGAGGATGAATGCCAGTGAGCAGCTCCCTGTGCCACATGGAGCTGAACCAAGCTTCACAGTGGCACAGTTTGCCCAGATCTCATGGAGCCAGTAAGAGCACAATGATGAGGACAGTGCAAAAAAGAACAGAAAGATTTCTGAGAGGACAAATGATACAAAAATTTAGTCAGGCAGAGGCCAGGAAAAGGGATGTGGGGTAGAGAACACAGGAGCCAGATTCTGAAGTGTTGGGGGAGTTGGATCTTTTTCTCATAAACTGGAGCCTCAGAAAGATTTCCCTGTGGAGGAACTCAGATTTGCATTTGAAAAAGCCTGTCTATCTGCAGAGCCTGGAGGGGCCCACAGCAACCCCACTCTGGGTGGCCAGCACTGGGGCAAGTGGGGGAAGCGCTTCAGAAGAGATGGCAGAAATAGATTGTAGGTAAGTTGTTACTATCATCCAAAGGCCACTTTGGTAGCTTAGACTTGAGTCTGTGATGTTAACATTATCTTTCCCCTTTGGGTTTTGTTTATTTTATGCTTAGACCATTTCTAAATGCACTTATGTTAAAATGAATTATTTAGCTTATTTCTTGAAAATTGAAGCAAAATTAAAAGATATTCCTCATTTGTGAACTAAAAATACAAAAATGGCTCTGCTTTGGGCTGAAGGTGGAGACTTCCCCTTTAATTATCAAGCCACCTAGCTTAGGTTTCAACCCTGGCCGCTGATTAGAATTGCGTCAATTAAAATACGAATTTCTGTGCCTTTGGAGGTTTGAGAAGCTTCTCGGGATGAGAACCACAGAAGCCTGCTATTTCTTTACTTAACTGAACCTGTTCCCTTGAGCTTCAATTAGCAGTAACCCCTTCACCTCTGCCTAGGTTATAACAGGCAGGTGGGTCCAAAACTTAGGGAATAAGGTTAAAGGTTCATCTACTAAGAAACAGTATTTACTTTCACCCCTTGGCAAAGTGTACATGTTAAAAGAGGGATCCGTTTATTGCTGATCATTTTGCATTAACTCTGGTAAGAACAACTCCCAGTATTGCTAACCAACGCGTTCCTTCATATGAGCCTCTTACGTGTGGGCCAGTTTGACTAAAGAGAATAGAAACTAATGCCAGTGTGGGTTATGCCCATACAGAACCGCAGGCAGCGCTCGGCAGACAGCACTACTCCCAGACGTGTCAGCCGGGAGCTGAGAGAAAGCATGCCATACTCACACTAACCCGACCTTGGCAGGGAGGTGCTGCCAGCTGTGGCAGACCGAGGACAGTTTGCATCCGTTAAAGAGTAGCTGAAAACTGCAAAAAAAAAAATACTCTTCGGGCAGTTAATGAACCGGTGCCCTCTGACCACTCCTCCAGTCCAAATAATCAAAGCATGAGAAGCACGCCTTGGGCTGGCGGGGCCTCAGGCACTTTCAGTGTTAACCAGAATTGGGGTTGCACCATATTTCCTGGGCCTTAGGCTGGAAACAGTAGCCAACATTTATTAAGCGCTCATTGCCAGCTCCATTCTGCCTACTGAACAAAGGTGCCAACAAGTTTCCCCAGCTTCCTTGAACTGCCCTTATATTAACATGTGAAGAATTGCCAGCATTTAAAAATTAGGAAGTTTTATCATAATGTCTAGATTTCTGATTTCTCTAAAATACTGTCCATGATCTGACAGCACAGGGCCCTTAGTCTCACAAGGAAATAAGCTTCTTCCTGGGCCTACACTTCACTTGACCCAAGTCCTTGGCCTGCAGGCAACTGCCTTTGCTGTCTCTAATGTTATCCAGGTAGGGATAGATGGAAAAGTGGGGCTTCAAAAGTTGCTATTACAGAGCCCAAGAGATCCAGGATGAGAAAATAAGGTCCTTCGCTGACTGCATTATTTTGGATATATGAATCCTAGTGGAGTGGGGCACTAAGGCGGGTAAGATTCGAAGCAATTGCTTAAACTATAAACCAGGGGAGGAATAGATATGTAGACACTGACACTGACAAGGTCATCAGCCTCTTTTCTTGAAACTTTGCTGGGATGCCAAGACCATTATTTATCTCAACAACCATTTGATGAATTTTTCATCAGTTAACTTTTTAGAGGCCAAGAGGTGTTAATCAAAGGCCTCAGAGTCCTGAATGACTTTCTTTATTTCTACTTCATCTTGCATCCTGATGAGAGGGAAGCAGCAGCTACACTTGCCCATATTTGGCATTTCCTGCCTGGTTTGAAATTGGAGTTAGTAAGTTTGCCTGGGGTGAGAGTTGGAGGGAAGCAACTTCAAGAAGCATTTGAATTAGGGGTGCTAGGAACAGAAAGGGTTATGAGAACTGCTCATTTCTTTTATATACTTAAGTATTACTATTAAAAGTTTTGATTTTTTTTAAAGCAAAAACAGTAGGGTTAATCTAGAAGATAAATGGGTAAATAAGATAAATCTTAGAGCCAGGTTTGCCTTGTTGGAAAGTGGGAAGGGTCTTCTGGCAAAATCCTTCGACCACATTTAAAAGGCTCTTATGGCTGGTCATAGACACGGAGCTCTGTACCCAGAAGTCTCATACATGCCCTAGATTAGAATTTGCCCAGATTAGACTTGCCTGTGACTGATCTGCAATGTTGTGTTTGTAAATCTGTCAAGTGTCCTTGTGTGTTTCAGACAGGTGCTGAGAGGACCTGATAGAAGATGGCTGCAGTCCATACAGTCTCTAGGCATTGTTTTGGCACTTAGATCAGGGAAATAATATCAGCTGTCAGGTGCATGAAATATACAAAATTCTAGCATTGTTTTGTTTTCTAAAATCAGCTAGAGATCCGTTCCTAAACAGAAGAGCTTTTGGGCAGTTGACATTAATGTGAGGGCAAACTCCATCTATCTTTCAGATAGTTGAAAACAACAATTAAAAAAAGAAGAAATGGGTTCCTGGCTGATTGTGTCCAGGGCCTCAGAGCCCATCCTGATTTTAATAAGAAGGTATTTATCCACCTTAGTCTCTAATTTTTTGTTTTTTCATTTCCTAAAATGAGCCAAAATAAAAGACATGAAATCAGTTGAAAAGTTCATTTTTAAAATTAAGAGGTCTACTAAGCAAATAGTATAACTTGAGGAGGGAAAGCAACCGCCCGTGGCAAGGGAATGTGTTCCAGGAGTGGGCAGGGAGGCAATATCTGGCTGGAACGTGGAAGGAGGCAGAAGAGAGAAAGAAGGGAGAGGGGCGAGGCCCTTGGACTGGTCTTAGAACAGTGACTTGATCTTATTTATGGACTGGCTGGTACACGGAGGAAATTTTTACTTCCTAATTTTAGTACCTACATATTTAGTATAGAAAAACACAGTGACTTCAAATAAGGCTAAAAAGTTGCCTCCTTTATAAATAAACTCAAATGAGAAAAATCACTTCAAAGAGAAGTGTGGAATTGGCTGCAGGTGTCAGGCGCCATGCTGGGCTATCTCTATTTATTCTCCGGGACATCCCAGCAGTTGGTACAGAGCTCTCCGCGGAACCGACTCGGGTCACACAGCGGAAACACAGCTTTGGGATGGAAGCTGACTCCTGGTAGGTCTGCCAGTTTCAAGCTCAGTTCTCCCCCTCTTTGGGCGGGTGGCCCCGGAGCACAGTATTCACTTTCGCCCAGGGAAGCCGTTCAGCCTGGGGGAGAAGGGTCCCCGGCTGGGCGAGCTCCGGAGAGGCCCAGC